TCGTAATTTTTTTACTTTTTTATTCACTCAACATTCCATTCCCTTTAAATCTGATTCAACTAAATCAGATGAATTATAAATAAATAAAACTCCTTGTAAAACAAGAACTCTTCTGAAAGACTTTTAATATGAGCAAACTGATTTGTAACTTTTCTAAGTTGAAAAATAAGTTATTTTTATGCAACTTCTCCACACCTTCGTACAAGCGGCACAACATACGAATTACCAAACCTATTAAGATCGCATCTTTATAGCCTCAAGGCTGAGATCTCGTACGAGTCTACCATACTCTGCTGGTGATTTATACATATTAGTCATTGGCATATTTACTTTTGAAGACCTTGCATATAATCTACTAGAACTCAAATGTTCAGCAGACCAAGATTAATTTTGGGCGAACGATGGTCCTTAAACAGCAGTTATAGGTGTCGATATGGAAGACGACGAGGGAATGATCGAGTATCAAGTGAATGATATTATTGATGTGGAACGGAGAATTGCCAATGTAGGTGTTGCTAGCTTTAACTTACGCTTTGTATATGGGTGAACTATTAATATTCTGCAGTTTTGCTTTTGATCATCGGAAATACTGTACCATATACATCCATTAAGGCCACCAACTTGGTGTTTCAGCACACATCACAGTTTTCTTGTTATTATCTTCTCCCTCACCCATTTTCCTTGTATTGTGCCATACTTTGTATTCTGAAACTTTCTGAAGATCTTTTCTTTAACTTTAAATTGCAGCTTTCCCGTTCGGACAACATCCGCAACCATTCTGCTATAAATAACTTAATGAGTTATCGAGATTTCAAAAAACGATATCCAGAGGTATATCTTTCGCCAAAAAGCTTAACGACTGTTAAAGGCTTGTCACTTTTTTTAGATACGATGGAACTTGTTCTTCAATGATGATCTTCGGGCAAATTTGGGTCCCCTTGAGGACGATATGATGATCAATGTGGTTGATATAGGATACTTTGATGGACTTTCAGCTCTTATCAAGTCAAAACCTCTCAGGTCTATTTAACAGCAAATAAGAATGTTTTGTGTAGTTTGCTGATCTATTGACAATCACATTTTTATTTTCACAAAGAACTTTGCACTTTATTTGCAAAAACAATTTGTTTGCTTTAGTTCTATAAACAATTATATGATGTGGCGTCTCGTATCCACTTTCGACATGTACCTTCCACATCAATACCGTGTTCCTGCCCAGAAATTCCAAGCGAGTATGTTCGGAGCAACTGCAGAAGTAAATTTGAGACATTTTCAAGCGATAAATGCACATGTTTCAATGCACATATCCTAGGTACCCCACTGGGAGAACTGCGTACGAGAAGTAGCTGAGAACCTCGCTATGCCGTTGTCTACTGCATATGCCAGTTCATACTTTTCTATGGAAGATCGAGAAAAGGCATGTTTGTTACGTACATTGGAGTTTACATACAGTAAAGCATCTCCTTTTTGGAGATTCCAATCTGAGTAAATTGCTGCTTCTTACAATTACACTATTTCAGGCAGAAGAAATGATTATGGATTTGAAAAGGTCTATGGAGCGTCTCCTGCAAGAAGCAGATTGGATGGATGACACTACCAGATTGGCGGCATTGAAAAAACTTGAGAGGATGGGACATAAAATTGGGTAAACATTTACAAAATTTGTTGAATAGCAAATTCCATATTTATTTCAGATTTCCGGACACGTTGCTCAATGAGTCAGCCGTTCTCGCGCCATACGAAGGAGTGCAAATGAGTAGCAATCGTTATTTTGACAATGCGTTGCAATTGAAAAGAGCAGCAGTCCGGTTGGTCTTGCTTAGAAAACCTAAAGAATAGCGAAAATAAATATATCTCTTTCTTCATTAGTAATTCGCAGAAATATACTTCTAAGTTTTACTGAAGTTAAATTGAAAAAGCAAAGATTTGCTAATTTGAATAAAAACTCACACTGTTACATCTGTATCAAATTTACTATGCAAATATGAAGTGACTCGTTCTGTATTTTTCTCAAAAGAACAGAAATCATTACATTTTGTTGGTCAATCTTGCCATTTCGATTTGAAAATGTTTGAAGGAATTTGCCCTTAAGTTTATATTAGAAGAGCATTTTATGGAGGACTCAATAACTTAACTTCATTAAGGAAATAGTCCCTTTATTGGATAAATAGTACCAAATTTAAATCACTTGAGATGGTTCTGTTCTTGAAGTAATTAATATACCCCACACAGACATTGCTTAACGAAAGCGGCATACTTACTTAGATACTTAGTAAGTAAGTACTTAGATGCTTAGATGGCCTGCCCTCACTCGTCGTGCAGGCTACAGCATTGTTTCCATCCGTTTCTGTCTCTCGCTAGCGTCATCCACGATGATGGTATTGAATTGCGGCGGCGACGTTCACGAGGTCCATTACTCGTTACCAGCTGAGAATTCAGCTGGTCCATCCGTGCCACGAACACGTCAGCCCATCTG